ATCATCATCATCATCATCATCATCATCATCATCATCATCATCATCATTCTTTCGTCATTACGATCATCATCATCATCATCATCATCATCATCATCATCATCATCATCATCACCATCACCATCATCATCATCATCACGTTTAACGCGGCCTGCGTGGTGTATACTTACAGAGATGCTTCAGAGATGGCAGCTGTTTGGAACTAGTTTCTTCTACGTGCGTCGCGTCTCTGACAACCGACTGCCCGACGATTGTTTCTTAGCCATCAACAAGAAGGGAGCTCTCTTCCTGCACCCCGACACACACGTGAGTCAGCAGCATCCCTCCTCCTTATTCTGTTCATTCTTCTCCTTTTCCTCTTCCTTCTTCCCCTTCTCTTCTGTCTTCTCTTCCTCCTCCTCTTCTGCCTTCTAATCTTCCTCCCCTTTCCCCTCTCCTTCTGTCTTCTCTTCTTCCTCCCCTTTCTCCACCTCTTCTGCCTTCTCTTCTTTCTCCCCTTTCTCCTCCTCTTCTGCCTTCTCTTCTTCCTTCCCTTCCTCCTCCTCTTCTGCCTTCTATTCTTCCTCCCCTTTCCCCTCCTCTTCTGCCTTCTCTTCTTCCTCCCCTTTCCCCTGCTCTTCTGCCTTCTCTTCCTCCTCCCCTTTCTCCTATGACGCCCGCTCCTTATCATTCTCCTTCTTTTCCTCCTTCTTTCCTCCTCTTTCCCTTCCTACTCCCCAATCATCTGCTTGTAATTTTCTTTCCCCAACTCCTCATTGTCTTCCTGCTTTTCCTCATTCTCCTCCCACTGCCACTTCCCCTCCTTTCGTCGCTGCCTTCTCCTTCTTTCTTCCCTCTCCTTTCTCTGTTACGTCCTTAATATATGGCATCTTATGTCCATGACTTAAAGTGACTTCGTGATGGCGAAGGAAGCATCGACAGTCAATCTTCATCATCAAATGCCGCGAGCCGTTGAATATATGAATAATTAATTAGCTATAACTCGTAAATATTTCGTGAGTAAATATTTGCATTAATTATAATGATGAGCAACGCTGGGGTTGAGTTCATTGCTCTTACGCACCTCCATTCTGAATAACAACTTACGAAAGAAATAACAACAGCGGAAATACTTAGCATGGCTTCGTTAATGTTTTCAGATTAAAATCGTTCACGGCCACGGCGTGCGTGCGTGCGTGCGTGCGTACGTGCGTGCGTCTATCTGTTATTTCTCCACTCTCTGTTGTTTCTTCCTTGTTTGTTCTAACATTCTCTCTCAACTTTCCGCCATCTCTCACCTCTCTCCATCCCCCTCCCCCTCTGATCTCCATCCCCCCACTCTCATCCCCTTTCTTCATGCTTTCCCCTCATTTCTTCTCACCCTCCTCTTCTATCTTCCTCTCTTACAGGAGACGCTGCAACAGTATGCGCTCACAGGGGTTTTCTCTACGCTGCGCAGCGAACAGGGCAGGCATCCCTTCCCCTCTCCCCTTCTCCCTCTCTTCCCTTCTACATCTCTTCCTCTCTTTCATATCTTCCTCTCTTACAGGAGACGCTGCGACAGTACCCCTTCACAGGGGTTCTCTCTACGCTTTGCAGCGAACAAGACAGGCATCCCTCCCCCTCTCCCCGTCTCCGTCTCTTCCTCTCTTTCATATCTTCCTCTCTCCCCTTCTCCCTCTCTTCCTCTCTTTCATATCTTCCTCTCTTACAGGAGATGCTGCGACAGTACCCCTTCACAGGGGTTCTCTCTACGCTTTGCAGCGAACAAGGCAGGCATCCCTCCCCCTCTCCCCGTCTCCGTCTCTTCCTCTCTTTCATAGCTTCCTCTCTCCCCTTCTCCCTCTCTTCCTCTCTTTCATATCTTCCTCTCTTACAGGAGACGCTGCACAGTACCCCTTAACAGGGGTTTGTCCTACGCTCCGCAGCGAACAAGGCAGGCATCCCTCCCCCTCTCCCCTTCTCCCTCTCTTTCCTTCTACATCTCTTCCTCTCTTTCATATCTTCCTCTCTTACAGGAGACGCTGCGACAGTACCCCTTTACATGGGTTCTCTCTACGCT